GGTGGAACCTAGCACCTCACCAAGTGGCCATATCAGGAAATGTACTTTGGAAGACCTCAGAAGCGAAGTACTCGTACTTAAGTCTACGGTCTAGCGAGCTGGGTGGTATACAATTGCCAGTTGGTGATTGGCTCCCCCTCACTCTTGTTAGCGTGCATTTGTATCGTTTCCCACCTCACCCCAACTTTTCCCAACACCAGCGCCGGCGCGAGGGCCGCCCGGCAGACCCCGGGCTGCTCTTCCCCCAGATTTCTGTACCTTCAAGGGCTCCTCGCTTACACAACACAGCAAGGCACTGGCCAGCGATGCAGGGCAGATTATCCAGTGCGAGAGCCGGCCCGGGGCCCACCAAAACCTCCCGTTTCCTCAGGTACTTTCCTCTCCACAGCAGCACCTCACCAGAACCGAGCAGTAAGGTACCTCTGCTCAGTGTAAGTAATTGACGGGACTGCAGGCAGGAGCTCACCAATTCTGTGCATTCCAGTCAAGAAGCGGAAGGCTGTTTCTACCTTACATTAGGCTCCTGGTCCATCCCTGGTCCCCGCACATCGTCCACGGGGTCTTGTTCTAGGTAGGTGGTACTGTACTTGTAGCCTAGTGTACCTAACCTAAGGCAGGCAGATAGGTACTTTACCGTCCCCAACTCCCCACGATTCATCTTGTACCGCGTTCCTAGCAGCAAATCCTTTCGGTGTGGTGTCCTGCGTCCAGCGTTCCCAGTCGTTGTGTCCATTTTGCTACTAAGAGACCCCACAGTCTCACTCCCTCTCCCCTACGACCATCTTCCACTTCTTCTTTCCCTTTTTCCCTCACACACACCCCCGACTCCGCCCTCCCACCCAACATCTCTATTGCTCTTCGTCTTGTTCGACCTTACAATTCATTCTACCTATTATAGGTACTGCTCACCCGCCGCTCCCGAGTTGTAGAACACACCAAATCTCCACTCTTATCCTTTCCGTGTCTCTGCTGTCATCTTTGCCATCTCAGTTGGCAAGACCGGTGTTCTCGTGGACCTACTTTCTTAGTCACTAAAGATACCAACTACCTGCAACAACCCCCAACGAAGACGACGATTTACGAAACCACCCGCCCATCGCTTTGAGGAGGACTCATGATTCATCTGTATACAAATATTCAACCAACCGCGCGCCCGTCCAGAATAATCAACCGAGCCCACCAACGACGAATCTAGAGAACAGAAAAAAGTCACCGCCGAAGCCTCCGAGGCTGACCTAGTCAACACCAGGTATCCGCCTTGAGTTGCCCATCATCGGATAAATCACCAGAAAGGAACATCTAAACGTAGAAAACAGAGGGAAACACCGCCACCATGCCTGGAATATTACCCATGAAGGTGATCAAGGTGGGCACCAGCTCGCAAAGCCGCATAGCACAGGCCTGCGACCGGTGCCGGAGCAAGAAGATTCGTTGCGATGGAATCAGGCCGACATGCTCGCAATGCTCCAACGTGGGCTTCGAGTGCCGCACAAGCGACAAGCTGAGCCGTCGCGCATTCCCCCGCGGCTACACAGAGTCTCTCGAGGAGCGCGTGCGCCAGCTGGAAACCGAAGTCAGGGAGTTGAAGGACTTGCTGGATGAGAAGGACGAAAAGATTGACATGCTGTCGAGGATGCACGGAAACCACAGCCACACGACCATGCGCAGCCCTTCCGTCGCGACATCGGCGCATTCACCCGCGTCGACATCAGATGGAAGAAAGGATGCTGGGGCGCCGGCCAAGGAAGATACTTTCCGGGTGCAGGCGTCGCCGTTATTACTCGGCGTCGAGAACTCGGATTCATACTTTATGGGCCCTTCCAGCGGCCGTGCCTTTATCGGTTCGTACCGCCCTTCTTATGCGCGTACCCGTTCATCCCGCCTCCCGGAGTGGCGGTCCGAGCGATGTAGATATAGACCAACGAGCTTTTTGGCTAACAAGGAACACAGAGGCTTTCAAGCGCAAGATGCAAGAAAATGGCAAGTCATGCTCAGATTTCAACCCGGAAGCGTTTCTGCATATCCAGGGGTGCCATCCCTTGACGCCAAAAACGCCTGATCAGTCACTCAAAGTGCCGCCGCGTTTGTTCTCAGATCGCTGCGTCAACGTCTACTTCCAAGAGTGGGCTCCCTTATTCCCCGTCTTGCACAAGCCGACATTCCTCCACATCTATGAGGAGTTTGTATCAGACCCGGAAAAGGTCAAGAATAATCACAAAATCGCCCAGCTGTACCTCGTCTTTGGCATCGCGGCATTAGGCAGCGACCAGCCCGATCTCGAGCAGATCGCAGCGTGTGAGCAACAATGGCAGCGAGCTGTCGAGGCTGTTCTTATGGAAAACACCATGGTCACCCTGCAATGTCTTGAGTTGGCTCTCTTGTACTGCATCGTGAGAGCGGATTACAAGCGCTTGCAGCACTACAAGGGCATTGCAGTGGGTTTGTCCCATCGCCTCGGCCTCCATCAGAGCCAGAAACGCTTCTCCTTCGGCGCGCTCACTATTGAGACCCGTAAGAAGGTGTTCTGGACTCTGTACACATTGGATTGGTGAGTATTATTACCTCAGAATGAAGTTGGAACATTGACTAACGGCTGCAGCTTCTCTGGTGCCATTCTTGGACTGCCGAAACTGCTCAAGGAGGATGAGATCCACACTGAGTATCCTTCAGACACAGACGACGAATACGTCACAGAGAAGGGCTTCCAGCCAACGCTCCCTGGCGAATACACCCGCTTGTCGAGCGCGCTCGCCCTCTTCCGCTGTTGCCGAATCCTAGCCAAGGTGATGGAGAAGAATTACCCCGCCGCCACTTCACACGAGCTGTCGCTGCAGTCAATGTCTGCCATGGAGGCTGAGCTCGACGAATGGAACGAGTCACTCCCGACGCATCTCAAGCTTACCTTCAAGCAAGATAAGCCTTCGACCGATGTCACCGGAAGCCGGTCGCCATTGCTTGCTCTCGCCTACTACTACACCAAGATCCTCATCTACCGCCCTGCCGTTGGCTCCTCGCTCGGTCGCAAGGCCGCCCCTGCTTTGATCTCCATTGGCGAGTCCAGCAAGCACGTCGTTCAAATCGTCCAGCTGCTCGAGGAGCGCAGCATGACCTTCTCCTTCTGCCTCAACAAGACGGATACTCTCGTTCTCTGCGGCATGACCCTCATGTACCAGAGCTTCGAGCTCAAGCCCGAAAGCAAGATGCTAAAGGACGTCGAGCGTCTCGTCAACAGCGTCCTCCACATTCTCACAAAGGCCAAGGCGCCCGGATCCTTCGATCTCAAGCGTGTGGCAGGCCTCCTCATTCGACTTGATGAGCAGAACCTGCCCACTCCGCCACAAGAGCCTCCGGAAGCATCCGCGTCCATGCCCGCACCGCAAAGGGCTTCGCCGCCTGCGCCCGCGGCCAAGAAGAAGTCGCCTCAACGGACTTTGGGCCGTCTTCCGAGCGCCGCTGCTAGCGAGAGTGACTTGATCCAGCAGCAGGAGAAGATGCGCCGGATGACCATGCCAAGCATCCAGAACCGCCCAGAACTCTACCGGTCCCGTTCGAAGCCGTCGTTTGACAATTTACAACAGCAGCAGCAGCAAGACGTCCCCGCACGGCGAGACCAGCGTCTTTCCATGTCACAAATCACCAGCCGCATCCGTACGTCCTCCAAGCAGAACCTCGACTATCTGTCTCTGAATAGCACACCGAACGGTTCATCGCCTCCATCGCCAACTACAGCCCGTCTCCACCAGCACATCCTCGCCGCAGCGCACCAGAGTCTTTACGCACAACAGCAGCAGCAACAACAACATCAGCCACAGCAACCACAAAAGGTGTCCGGGGTATCTTCCTCTGAATGGGAGGCCCTTCTCGGCTCCATGGACGGCGGTCTGAACAACGTCTACGACGCAATCTATGGCGGCGGTGGCGGCGCCATCCCCAACATGGGAGAGACGCCCGCGTCATCATCGACAGGGTTGGACAGCTGGAGCCCCGATAGCTGGGACCTAGCCAACTTCAATATCGGTGACTTTGGAACGAATCCGGCACCGCCGCAGAGTGTGTTGAGTGTTAGCGAGGAGAGCTTGTCCTCGGGCGAGGACCTGGCGACGAGTGACTTGAATTTGAGCGTCAGCAGTTTGGAGTACCGGAATGCGTTGCTCGCATCTTGCAGCGGGAACGGGAACAATGATGGGTTATTTTTGGATGGGCTTGATGGGAATTACGGTCTTTGAGCGAGAGGGTTGTATGTCGACGGCGTGATTTGGATGGCTTAAATAGCGACAGCTTTGGCTTTTTTTATGTGAAAATTTTCAGGGGTTTATATGTCTGAACGGCCAGATGGAAATGGGAAGCTCTTGGACATGAATATTGATTATCTCTTGTTATTCTTAAAGGAACCCTCTCTCGACCCCACCCGAATCTTCTGACAAGACACAACGAGGCGTCACGCATAACTTCTCTCGGCTCAAGGATATATGCGGGCTTCGCACAAGTCCTGTCTGCTTCAATGCTCTCACGCGCACTATCTGTCCTGGTCTAAAGAGGCCTCCAACATTTTTTTACCTTTGGTACCATCTTCCAAAACTGCACAATGTCTGGGTACTGTAGCCTGTTCTAGTACAGAAGTATAGCATGGGAAGGAAAGTTTTGGTGAAAGCCACAGATCGAGGAGGATGTGTATTTCGGGATTCGAACTTTATACTCTTCTGTATTTCTAGTCACCTAGCCTCCATCTTCATCGCGCAATTAGCGCCATATTTCAGCTCCCTCTGCCTCTTCCTATGTAGGTAAATTACTGTCCTCTAAATGTTCATCACAGTCATCATCCGACTGGGCTCTACTCTCTGCCCCCCTTTCCCTCCACTCGCCCTCTGTCAGTGTACTTTCCTCTAGCTCATTTTCTCTCCTCTTTCACAGGTGTCGTCTATCCCCGCAAGATTGATCATACTAGAGACCTTCTCAAACCAGCCAGCGCCAACACATCGTTGCAAGAGCCCCCTCCATTCTCACAGCTTCAACGCCTTGGCGGCCTTGGGCCCGGGCCCCACAACCCCAAACCGCGCAACGAGCATCAGAATGGGCGTGAACACCGCCACGAGGACCTGTATCCCCGCGACCTCGAGGTACAACCTCGCCGTCCTCTTCCACGTCCCGTCGCGCACCCGGCCCTTCCGCCTAGCCGCCCTCGCCTTTTCGTCTGCGTCTACCTCTCGCTCTCCCGATGGAACCGAAGTCGACGTGGATGTAGACGTAGATGCCCCCTCCCACCGCTTACACACCTCCCGAAACAACTCTGGATCATCCGTAATCACCCCGTCCGCTCCGGCGCGGATACTCCACTCCATCCACTCCTCGTCATTGACCGTCCAGACGAACAGCTGCCGATGGTTCTTCTTCACGTCTCTGATGAACAGTTTGCCGACGGGCCCGACGAGGGACTTTTGGAACATGTTGAAGGAGAGGTTCGGCTGTTTCGGCGTGAGGAAGTTGCGGGCGTAGAGCGGGGACCAGGAGATGAGGGAGATTGGGTAGGCGGGTAAGATTGTGCGGACGTGGGTGATGTAGGGTTGCTTTGGATTAAGTGTCAGTACCGTCGTGCTCTTTGGGGTTTTGGTCTTTTGCGGAAAGTGTGGTGAGACTGGTGAGATGGTAACTTACGTTCCAGCATCCGAATACTATCCTCTCGTTCCACGGCATGGGGCCCGGCGTGGAGGCCAGGACGTCAGCTACGCGGCCGAGGAGTTCTGCTGGGGGATCGTCGGTCTATGCACATTCGAGTCACGTCAGCATCATCATCATCATCATCTTCTTCTTCTTCTTCCCAGCGCCGCGCCCTCTTCTCACATCCTCCTCTTCAACTCCCCCTCTCTTCACCTCCCATACCAAACACCCAAAGCACAAACCCATCACCCCAAAAGCACCCAAGAACGCGATCCCTTACCTTGATATCGAGCAAAACCCAAACCCCCTCCCTCCCCTCCTCCGCCAACAACCCCAACAGATCCTCCAGCCTCGGCATCCTCTGCCTCGGCTCTCTTACCGTCTCGAGCGTCTTGAGATAACTCCAATCGCACTCGTTGATCTTCTTGTCCTCGATCCCGAAACACCGCTTCAGGTTCCCGTCGTGGGAGAGCACGACGACGCCGTCGCGCGAGAGGTGCAGGTCCGTCTCGAGGGCGTGCGCCCCGGCTTCGTCGAGCGCGGCGCGGAAGGCGAGGAGGGTGTTTTCGGGGTACTGGGCTCTGAAGCCGCGGTGGGCTATTGCTTGGGGGAGATGATGTGCGCCGCCACCGCCGGCGCCGCTGCCTCGGGTTGTGGTGGTGGCTGTGGTGAGTGGGAGGGCGGATGTAAAGTGTGCTGCGGTGTTGAGACTCATGTTAGCTACATATTGGCACCTAGAGCAAAACCATGCAATTCGGGGGGGGGGGGGGAGAAAGAGAAAAGATTGTACCTGACGGGCTGGGGGACTCATCCCCCAGGAGGGGTTTCGTTTCGGGAGTCATTGCCGCTGCTGCTGGATGTCCTCTATGTCGCATCTAGAATTCTAATGGTATGTGGGAGGCTGGGTCTATCAACGGACAGCCCAGCTTAGTGTAAAGCACTCTTGTCTAATGAGATGGCGGTCTATGAGCGCAAGTGACCGAGTGGTGTAATGCAGAAAGGCAGGCGCCGGAGGAGGGAGAGAAGCAAAGAATTATGAGTCTACGTGAATTCAACGACGAAACGATGAAATTCTTTCTCAGTGGTAGAGAGAGGAGAAGAGCTGTAGACTAATCAACCAATGGACGTAATGTAGTCGTCGCATACTCTAGCGCATACGGACTCGGGAGCTTTCAGAGGTCTCGAAGGCTTAGGTTAACCCCGTAAAAGCCGTGCGCATTCGTGGGCTGATTCAAAGGACGGGACGGAACGTTGACGACGACGAACATGAGGATTGGATGTCCAAGGTAGGAACGATTATGAGACAAGACGTACAGCTAGCTGCCTCGCCCTACTTACGTAGCTGGCCAGCGGGGTGCCTCGGAGCAATTCCAATGCGGTCGTGCCGGTTCGACGTCCCACCACGTGCAGAAGCCCAATGCGCGCCGACGGGGCCGTACTTTGCCTTGAAGCTTAACGCGGGCAGGGTGCAGGTGGGAATTTGGGACGGATCGCTTCCGCTACATGGTACTGTGGGCTGGCGCATCAATTGCCCCGCAGCTCACTCACCACCAGACCACCGGCGCGGGGCGAGACCTTAAGTCCGACCCCGCGGTGGGCGAGTCTGCAGTAGCGTCCTGCGTAACCCGTTCTCTTCCAGGTTCACTGAGGTAGATAGACAGGAATCAATGGGCCTTATGCCTAGGATACGGTCATTGGAAGAAATTAGGCTACTGAGGGAAGGCAGGTGAAATTACGGCTGATGATCCATGAATTCGACGAGTGCTTGCGCAGCCTGTTTCATTCTTGTCTGCTCTATCGCGTCGATTGCTTCGCTCACGCAGAGAGCCCTGCCTAAACGCTTTTTTTCTACTCTACAACTACTGCGCTGGAAAGGTGCCATATGATGTCGGGCCTCTGTACCCGTAAACCCCCTTATGCCCCTTTATAGCAACTTTTATAGCAACCTACCACAGTCTCCAGCCAGGCCAAGTCCCTCCCTCGCAACCATGCAAATAATTTCCGCCGCGAAATAAGACTTCTTTAGTCAATGTCAATGTCAATATCGAGATCCAGGGATCCGATAATGTCATCATCCATGAGCGGCTTGTGAATTGTCGGGATGCCCTTCTTCTCCTGGTTCGCAGCCTGCAGCTTGACCAAGTTAGGCAAGAAGTTCTTCTCCTGAGCGCCCATCTTGGGCGTGCCGTTGGCGGGTGTGCTCGCATTACTGTCCTTTGCCTTCTTGCTGCCCGTATCGTTGGCGTCGTGGATGAACTTGGCCTTGGTCCGCAACCGCCGCGACAAATCGTTCTTGATGTCCTCGCCCCTCTCCAGCGCCGCCTCTAGCTTACGCGCCTCGGCCTTCTCCTTGAGCTGTGCTCTCCTAACATTCTCGGCGTTCTCCAGCCGGCGTTGGCGGTTGATGTTAGCTAACCGGTCCTGCTGGGATGTTGCGCTGGGCTTAGATGAGGTCTCGCTAAGGCTCGTCTTGAAGGCCAATACGTTCGTTTTGAGGTCGTCGAGCTGCTCCTGCAGGTCCTCTGCTTTTCTGGTGTTCCCTTGGGCGCGGGCGACCTCGATATCTTGAGCGAGGCGCTCTCGCAACTTGGGATCGAACTTCTTGCGGAGCGCGGCCTTGCGCTGGATGCGCTCGTCAATCTCGGTGGTGGAAAGATGGTACGCGATGAGCGCGTTGATGTCGTCAATCTTGTCCATGAGGGTCTTCTTCTTGGGCCAAGTCAGGCCCTCGGACTGAATGACCTTTTCGTATCGATTGTATTCGCGCTGTTCCAGTCAGTTGGACGCCCTCCAGTATAGAGCGTCTGAAGAGGAAACTCACCTCGGTAAATGGCCGATCTGACAGGAAAATGAATGGGAACGGCCGTTCCGCCTTACCATGAGCTGCCAGAACATACTGATCGGTCACAAAGGCACCACTAGGGCCTGTCATGGCGTATGGCTTGCCAACCGTGATGGCTGTAAAACGTCAGCATCCTGTCAGCAACAACACCTCGGCGGGCGGACTGACATTGAATGCGCGCCATGCGATACTCGTCCTGGCCCGTCTTGGGGTCGGGACCGATACTGATGCGGACGTAGCATCCTATCATGGTCGTCTCGAAGCTTGGGTGGAAGCAGTGCTCCGCGAAACGACTCTTTCCGACGCGAATGCGCTCGAAATCTCGAATGTCTGGAGGCGGCAACTCGCGTGCGACAATCTCGTCCTCCGGCGATCGTGACTTGCGGTGCCGACGGCGTTGGTTCTCCTCGTAATCGCCTCCCTCATCGCTGTCGTCCTGGTAGTCGTCGCGCGGCGACCTAAGCCCCTTGCGCTCCTCCTCGCGACGACGTATGCGGTCGACCTTTTCCGCACGCGCGCGACGTAGCTCATCTATCGCTGACGTCTTGCCGTCGGTGCGCGGCCGCGCTGTCGTGCGCAATTCGTCGTCGAGGTCGGCAGCGTCGGCGCTGCGCTTCTTGAGCTTCTGCTTCTTCTCCTCGTTCTCCTGCTTGCTGACAAGCTGTCGCAGCATGCGATTCTGTCTGTGGCGCTCAATTTCGGCCTGTCGCTCTGCGAGCAGTGATTCTCTCTCGACTTCGCGCATGGCCATTACCATCTCCTTTTCGGCGCGGCTTTTGAACATGCCGTCGATCGGGTACTTATCCTCCTCATCATCGTCTTGGCCCGCCCTATGCGGCTCGGCCTCGGAGTCGGACTCGTCCATGGCGGCGGATCCTATCGAGTTGGGGCTACCGGGTGCTGAAGAGCTGAGGCGCATTGTCAGTGATGTAATTGGCAGGCAAGGCAGTGGAAAGCCAATGTTGCGCGCGCGATGATGAGCTGGGAGATTGAAATTCAATCGAAGGTGAAGCTCAAGGTTGGTGGACTTCCTCCGGTGTAGAGGTAGGAATGCGCCTGGGTGTACTACAAAATGGGAGAAACTTACGCCTCTCCTTCTTCTTCTGAGTCGCCTCCTCCAGCGCGCTTCTTCACCTTTTTCGCAGCGGACTTTTTCGCAGCCGCCTTGGGCGGTGGTGACGCGGATTGCGCCCTACTCTCCGCCTCAGACATCACCTCCTCCTCTTCCTCGTCAGAGGACTCTCCGCCTCCGGCGAGAGCCAAAAGCTCATCATCAATGTCGGCCATGGTGAGTTACGATCGGGTATTCGACTAAGGGGCTGGAAGCTCTTTCAAGCAACTGCGCCGGGTGATTCAAGTGATTCAAGACCGATCGATCGGTTTACGCAATTGGCTATCGATGCAAAGAAAACAAATACGATTACTTTGAGTCGCAGAAAGATGAAATTCCTTTGTCGATTGGGTGTAGAGAGGTGAATGGTCAGGAGATGGTCGCTGGCGGTTGTGTGGTAAGGTTGTTAGAATAAGAACTCGAAAGTCTGGCTCCTATTCACAGCCTTGGGCCATTGTCGTTGCGAACGCGTGCCTGATTGGCTCAGATTATGTCATTCGTCTGCACAGGGGTGGAGCAGTCGGAGCGTCGGCCCATGGCCATCCGACCTGCCCTACGGCTAGCCAATCAACGCTCACAAAGGCTTCAGCATCCACAGGGTCTAGTCGTTCGATGTCATTGACATCTTCTATTTGTCTTCGGCCGAGTTTGTGCTCCGAATACCCTAGGGGTCTTGTCTATCCACAGGAAAATCTCACAATGGCTTCAGTAAGATCAGTTCTGAGGCCCTGCTGTGGCATCGCAAAAATTGGAGCGCAAAACGCGTATGCGCCGGGTGTTTGCATCTCGCGCAGACAGCTATCCGGCACATCCAATGTTCAGGCCGAAGCAAAAGGTGCAGCAGCGGCGCCCCGACGAAAGCCCCTGACCCAAGAGCAGCGGGATTTCTTGTCTTCAGCAGTAAGTTGTGCAATTGTATGCAGTTGGGGAAACTATACTGACTTTGTTCAGCTTCGAGTCAATCAAGCCGGAGAACTGGCTGCCACCCGAATCTACACAGCTCAAACCCCACCGATCGTCAATCGACACCCGCACCTTCGACCTCTCATGGCACATATGTACGACCAAGAAGAGGGCCACCTCAATACATTCAACGCCCTCATCCACAAGCATCGCGTGCGACCGACTGCCCTGTATCCTCTGTGGCAGCTAATGTCAACTGGGCTGGGCTGGAGTACCGCAGTAATGGGTCGCGAAGCGGCCATGGCATGTACAGAGGCCGTCGAGACGGAAATTGGCGATCACTACAACAACCAAATCAGAACCCTAATCGAGATGGTCACAGAGTGGGAAGCTGAAGGTTACGACGTCGGTCCGGAGTTCACCGATCTCATCAAGACACTGCGGCGGATTCGCGATGAAGAATTGGAGCACCTGGACCACGCTGTCGAGCATGACGCCAAGAAGGCGGAGCCGCACTGGTTGCTCACCGGTGTGATCCGGGCGGGTTGCAAAGGCGCCATCTGGGTAAGTGAGAAGGTGTAATAAAGGCTGTAATTTAACAATGTGTACAATACATGTAAAAACAGGGGCCGAAGCCATACGAATGTAATCAAATCAATACAGTGAAAGTACCCGCGACGCCAAGATGCTCCTCCCTGACTCCGTCCTGTGCATCGATGCATCGTGTAATGGTTCAGCCATATAGAGAGGCTTTGTCCAGCAGGTCCATGAGACCGTTCTGAACTGTGTATAACACCTAGTTGCTGCAATGGATGTTAGCACTGGACCGGCTACGCACGGGAATGATAGACGGAGACTT